CATGAGGCCATATAGCCTACTTTTGAATAATCGCTCTCGAGCAATAATTATTTTAAAAGCCAGCAGAGTTGCTTTCACAGGACAAAGGAGAATCTACCCACTCAAATATTAATCTCTGAGTGGCCCTGGGAACCTGGCACATTATGTTGTAGGGGGAGTGCCAAGAAGGTAATTAAAATTGCTGTCATACCTTTAGGCTACTGCAGACTACAGGGTTTCTTGAAGGTCGGTCATGTAAGGAGAGGTTCTGTGCTTATAAAAACAGGTCTGGCATTCTTTACAAAGGGCAGTATGTGCTCTGACTTAGGAATACAGCAACTTGATTAAAATCTACAGAGCAGTGACTTCCAAGGAGAACCATCAAAAATGTGGCAGGGAGGGCTACCAACTTGTCCAGAGGCATACATCTCTGAGAACAGGCTCGGATGTTGTTAGAGATGCCCTTCTGGTGTGTGGTAGGTCCTGGGGAGCTGACGTGGGAGTGTAGGAAGGTGGGAAGACTTGGGGTAAGCAGCACAGCAACCAAATGGCACTTTGGGGTAGGTTCTTCACCTCTATGAGATTTAATTTCTCCACGCATAAAGTAGGGGCAAAGGTAACAAGGTAAGGCAAAGAGCATGGCCTGAATTCGTCACAGAGGAGATGCCGAGTCAGTTTCTCACAAAGGGACTCATTCTCGTCACGCCAACAGACACACTGGACAGGACTTTGAAAATCAGAGCTTTCCCTTCCACTTCTTGTTTACCTCTAACAAGAATGAAGAAGACCTTGGAGTTGACGTGAATGTGACTCTAGTCTCATCCTCTTGAAGTGCAGCTGTGTCATAGTGGTTCAGGGCTATAATCCTAGCATTCTGGGAGGTTGAGGCAGGAGGATCTCAAGTTCAAGTACAGCCTGGACAATGTAGTGACTTAGATTCTGTGTCACAATAAAGAATTTTTAAAAGGTCTGGGCATGTAGCTCAGTATGTGTTCAATTCCCAAGTATCAAAAAAATTAAATTGCTTAAAAAAGAGTGAGGTGTTTTGTTTTTCTATTTTGATTTTTAAACAGCCGACAGAGTCCTGAACTAACAAATGAACAACCAGAGCTTTGGGAAGAAATGAGCAAAACCTTTATAATTTATTCACGTCTTTGGGTGCATTTTAAACTTTTAGGATGAACAGATTAAACCAGTAGGATGGGGTATAAAGAGTTTTATGTGTAAGGAATGAGTTTGAAACCCACTACAGCCAGAACAGTGAAATTCAGTTCAAACATGGCCAAGTTTCTAAAATAAGTATTTATGTGCTCACCACAGTCAACTTGACCAGCAGGCAAAGCCATAAAGATGGAGATTAAAAGGATTTTATGACTCGAGAATGGAATAGCCTGAGCTTGACACGTGGCTGTGATTGTGAGGGTCCTACTGTGTCCTGAGAACCTGAGCTCTCCTGCCATAATTTAGGGGCACCTCCCTGAACCCCCGCTCTAGCAGTCTCTGTGCCTTCCCAGAATCCTCAGAGGATGTCACTCCACATAGGGAGAGATTCTGGGGAATCCACTGTTAAGGTCCTGTGTAGACCTTGAACGCTTTTTGAAAAGCCTGACGACAAAGTTCACCATCCTCACCACCCACCCTCAAGGCACAGCAGGGCCAGAGTCCAGTCATAGCTGGTGCATAACTGGTCGGTGACCAGATGCATTTTGGGAAAGTCAGAAATGGCAGCCCTAAGGCACGGTAGGCTTGTTTTCAGAATGTCTCAGTAAGCTTTAAAAAACTGAAGCCCTTGACTGAAGCAGACTGATAGTCCACTACCAGAGGGCAACCACCAGGCAACATCTGATGTCCCGCTCATTCACTGACAGTTCCATGCTTTTTCCCTCATGTAACTGAACTGAAAAAATCTTCCCAGTCACCACTGTTTGATCAATGATTTCCAACCTGTATGGGCAGCCTCTGGAGAACAACTAAAAACCAAGGTGGAATCGACTGACAGTGGATCAATCTGAAGAGAAGGGGCATTGGGAAAATTGAACCATGTTCTCAACTATAATTTTCAGTTTCTTTTTCCTCTTTTTCCCTTTATTTGTTTATTTTTATTTATTGGGGGGTGGGATACAAGAACAAAAGTTTTCTAAGTAAACAATCTAACTCTAAAACTTCCTCAGGCACCGTCCTCGATAATCCACCTTTCTGTTCCACCTGCATCCAGTTTTCCGGCAAGGCTTGTCAATGGCATTCTAAAGCACATCTACTCATTTCTCTCTGTCTTCACCACCACTCCCTTGGTCAAGGCCACTACCTTGTCTCCTGGACTCTTGTGACATCCTCCCTCCCAACAGCCTGTCCCACCTCTATTCTGGACCTCTTCAAATCCACTCTCCCTCCGGTGGCAACCCTGACATTCCTAAAGTGGAAATCACATCACATCCTCATGCTTCTTTAAATTCTTCGGCTGCTGTCTATTGCCAGAGTAAATCCCAGCCTCCTTAATGCAGCCACCAAGGCTCCACCTGTCTTAGTAGCCTCACTGTATTACTGCAACCACATTCTTCACAGACCCGGGTCTTCCTCTGGCTCCTGTCTACAAAAGATGCACTTAGAGGTCTGAGCGAGACCACAAGGCCTTACACATGGCCACTGCTTTACAGCGAATGATGAAAGGGAGAGAAAATAGGAAACAAAGACAGAAAAGCATCTTATTTTATAGCCAACCATTTTGTTTTCCTCTTGTAGAGACTTCAGGCAGACATGTTCTAATAGGATTTAAAACAATCAAACATCTTGCTTTTAAAGTTTGCAAAGCATAGATTGCATACTGAAAGAAAAAATAGTGGATAACCATATTCCGCATTTGCAGTTACGTCCCTGAGCACCTTTATGCTTTTGTGGTTGTCCTGCAGCACGAAGAACTTCGTCTCCTTCAGTCAAAGGACAAGGCCCTGGAGAAATTCAAATGCAATTTAAAAGATTTCTTGGTCATAGCTATTTGCATTCAAAGAAAAGTCATTTCTGAAGCATTCCTTTCAGAATTCCAATTAGAGATTTGAAACACCCACACATAAAGGAAAAGTTTAAAATGAGGTGTAGAATTATATTGAGGTTACCAACTTAATAATGTTTGTGCCATCAAATAAATGTTCCACAGTGATTAGTTCATAACACATTTCAAGTTATGTTTGGGTTAGTTTGGGTTAATAGTCCCTTTAATTATTCTAATGAGGCAAACTTGCTGCCAAGCTATCTTTGCTTTCCATTTAGTTTAATCATCTTACTGTCTATTTTTAATAGCTTCCCCACCAGTGATGCTACAGGAGTCAGTTCTGCCCAGGGAAGAGGAGTTTAACTGATTCCACAGATTTAAAAGGACCCACTGTGGACCAGGGACTGCACTAACCAGTGGAGACGAAGCACGAACAAGGCCATTTTCACCTTTCGAGAGTCTATGCTCTGGTTAGTGAATAGGTAACAGGTAACCTGGGGAGGGTAACTGGTCAAGAGAGGAGTCAGCGCCGTGCAGCCTGTTCAAGGCCAGCACCTGGTAGGCTGCTTTGAAGCTGAGACACAGGGCAAAGTCAGACTAACCCAAGCAGAGGTGTGTGCGTCTGCAGCAAAGGAAACATCCGGAGCAAAGACCTAGGGGCAGGGTCCAGATGCTTTTAGAATCCCAGATGTGCAGAGTCCGTTGGGGAATTTTCCTCGAGCTCATGGGCCTTTGTTTTCCTGAGTCTCCGGGATCTGAAGTTCCTTGTCACACCCTCAGCTCACCTGTGTGGGTCCACTTCTGCCATTCTCAGATCTGTTTAAAATACAAAATCTCTGAGTCACCTCCCAGCCCCACTTCCCCAAAGTTAATAATCTATTTTTGATTCAAATGATGAGAATGATGGAAAGTGAAATGCACACAGCCAGTGGGAATCTCCAAAAGAAACTCACCTTAATAACTATTTGAATTACTTCACTTCTGGATTTATGCAATCATTTAGGGCCAGAAAGGGTGACTTTTTTACTTGTACTTTACTGCATTTTACTAGGACATGAGCTTCACAAGGACAAGAACCTTTGTTTTGCTTCCTTGGTGTTTCTCAAGTGCCTAGAATAGTTCTTGGCACATATTAGGCATTTAATAAATATTTTTTGAAAGATAAAATGAATTTTAGGAGAATGTTATGGTCTATGGGAAATCTAAACTCTCTAGGGCCCATGGTAGCCCAAACAAAGAGAGGGTAAGGTTCCTTCAGAGTGGGCAGCGCTGGTCCTAACACTGCAAATAAATCAAGTACAAATGAGGACAAACTGGTCAAAGGAAGGTCATGGGGAGCCTGTGGCTGTCTCATCAAGGTCTAGGGCGAAGCCTTTCTTGCAGATGTTGTCTGTATGTGGCGGATAAGCATGATTCTTAGCCCATCATCTCAGGTATTCTGCAAGTCCACTCATGATTCAGAGTTCTATCTTGCAAAACCTGAGGAAACTGCCTTGGATCATTTTGGGGGACCCATGAGCACCGCTGTGCCAGTGTCACTGGACCTTCCAAGGCTCAGCCTGGTTCCTACGGAGAAGTCCTAGTGCAAGGCTGGGTCTTTCCCAGCCCAGTAAGTCTGCTTTCGGGGCCTGACAGCTACTGTACCGAGGGCCCCATCTCCCTGCACACCCTGATTCCTTCGGAGAATGCAGTCTTCTCCTTCCAGTCTCTGGGCTTCCCCTGGGGCACTCTGAGCCCGGGAAGTCTTTCCTCTGGCTTTTCCTTTCTCCTCCCTCCTACATCCTCATTTCAATAAGCTCAGCCACACTGCTTTCTGCCCAGCAACAACCCCTGAGGCAAAGAAATAGTCTGGCTCCACACATGCAGCTGGAAATGGGACAGAGTGAACAGGCGGACAAGCCAAGGATCTCAATAAGTTATTCTTCCACACAGTACTGTGCGGCCAATTAAGGAAACACCCCTCAGAGAACTCTGAGGACTGGGGATCAAATTGGCAACTTTTGCTCACATTCAAGATGGTAAACAAAAAGTGAGGGACCGTGGCCAGGCATGTGGCTCCATGTCCTGAGCCTGCGGCGACTGGAAGGCAGGGAGGCCCAGTTCTTGCCAGCACACGTTTGAATCCTAAGTAAATTCTTGCTTCTGGGCAAACCCTTCTGGTGCGTGAACCTTTTCACCTTCTGCCACTGCAAAGCTTTCTTCTATTCTCACCTCAAACCCCTAGAAAGGCTCTCTGAAACTTCAATACTGACTCACACAGACGCTGCTTTGGTGGGTGGAATATAAATGTTCAAGAGTCCTGACATCTTCTGTGGAGATCTTTATTTAAAAAAAAAAAAAAAAGGAGTTCAAAGGAAGAGTGCTCCTGCTTTGAGGATTTCCCACATAAGTAATAAATGGAAATAATTGCCTCTTTCCATATGTCTCTGATCTCATCCAGAGGGACCGGTTTATTAGAGAGACTGTCAGGAATATGTTTATGAGCTTCAGTTGTGCCCAGAGACACAGGGCCCGAATGTCATCCAGCCTCTTCGGAACAGTTTCCGTGACAAAATGTGGACCCTATCACTTGGAAATCTGACTTTATTCTGCCCGGGTGGTATTTTCCTTGTCTGAGTACTAAAGAAGCTTTTTTTTTTTAAATATAAAGAACAAAAGAATAGTACCTTTTTGTGAAAGTCAAGTCTGAAACAGCATCTTATTCAGGATATGGCATCTTCCCCTATTTTACAAAACATTTTTATCATACATACCCACATAGAGAAGGAATAATGTTAGAGTTCAAAGGAAGGGCTTAGCAGTTAGCTAATGCCTAATCCTCCATTGAAAGATAAGAAAATACAGTATATGGAAGGCCTTTAATTTCTGTTCTATACCTACAAATAAGAAAGGGATTGAGGGAAAAACACAAATGTTTGGAGTCTGATCCTGAGCTGGCAGAGAATAGCAACTACTTCATTGAGCTTTTGAGAGAATTAAGTGAAAAGATATCCAGAAAAAATAAAAACAACCCAGTTACTGGCACATAGTAAGAGCTAGATAAGTTAATAGCTTAGTAGCTAAGGAGGTCAGTACAATTCTGGCTCCAAACAGTGGTTCTCCAGCTGCACTTCAGAATTATCTGGGATGGTTAAAAAAACAAACAAAAGAAAATCAGGCCTGGGTCCAACTGTGGACGTTGAGTTAATTGGTCTGACTGGGACTCAGTCTGGGGACAGTTGAAGAATTTGCTAAGTGATTCTCATGTATAGCTAAAGTTGAAAGTCACTGGCCCAGAACAAGGCGAGGGCCCATGTCTCCCTATCACTGGATAAATACCAAGCAGATGGCAAAGGAAAGGGATAAGATTTAAATATCACAGTTAGGTTTAAAAGGAAATTTGGAATAACAGCTTTTGTCAATTGCAAGCATGTGACTGCTACAAAAGATTAATAAAGACCAACCTAATTGAAACAGGCAATTAGGTTTAATATGAGTCTTATTAAAACAATGGAGTTCTCATCTGTGCTTTGTCTAGGGAGACTCATTGAACAAGCTAAATGACAGAGAAAAGCACACCTGCATTAACAAGGGGGCAGTCATTTAATGCAGAAATCCAGTTCACATAAAGAGACAGAGGTTGAACAACAGATAGGACTTCAAACAAGACTGCATAGTGTCACGGATTAGCTCTTACACGGTTGATCTGTTTTCCTCATGATTCTGATCCCAGCACAAAGACAGAGAAGAGACTTCAATTAAAAAGTAATAATAAGGCAACAGAAGAAGAATCCCCCTGTGACAAAGAACATCCACAAATAATGCGCAAATATTGTGTGCTGACACAAGACACCATGAGGACAAGTTCTGAAGATGCTGCATTAAACTTTAACGAGCATGGAACAGTAACAAGAAAATTATACTCGCTTTGTTATGAATCCTTTGCAAATAGAAATGACTCTCAGGTAATTGTTATATACAAACTTTCTGAAATAAATGGAAACGATACAAATTTTTCCATCGTAGTTCTTCTTCTACGCCTAGAAGTGTTCCATGGCACACTGTTCCCTATTTCTCACAGTCAAAGCATAAAGAGTCATTAAAGCACTTGAATCCACAGTAATCTTGTCCTTAGAAAGGTCAGGAAGTTTTGCATGATTTTCAATCAGTCATCCAGAAAGGGCTGCAGGCAACAGGTTGGAATGTAAAAAGACGACTTTGTGCTTGGAATCCTGATGTGAACTCCGCTCCTCTCCCGCTAGGAGTTGCCCACACCATCCCGGGCTCTGAGTGCTGACAGTCATACCGTGGAGTCCCTGGCAGACTTTAGATGTGCAATCTTGGTCCGGCTAATAAACGGATAAGCGATGCAGAGACCTCCAGCTGCCACGATAAAACCTAAACTGCACCAGGCGCAGAAGATAGACCAGCTGTAGCCATGTTCCACATCATCAGGCAGGCTATAAATTAGCTTCGGGAGCCGGTTCAAATCGTAAGAGACACTGGCAGCATACGTGCAGAGGGAAATGGTGCAAAAGATCCCTATAAATAATACCAAGAGAACAGAAAGATCAGCCACAGCCTTGCCCACCACCAGGCAAACGCCGGGCAAGCCTTTGTGAAAACTAGATCAACCGGTTAGACGACCACTCCACATGCATAAAAATCATAATTCTCTTACTTAAGTCGACTCATTCAACAAGCTCTCACCAAACGCCCATGTGCCAGACCCTATCTTACAAAAGATGAGACAATGTTTATAATTTGAATTATTTAGAAGTAGCTGGCTTGCACAGTTTTGCATGTTGAATTTTTTTGTTGTTGTTGAATTTGTTTTTGGTTTTTATTTTTAAAAACAATTTAATAAACATTTCTGTTTTATTTTACTCTTATTTTTGAGATTGGGTCTTGCTAGGTTGCCCAGCCTGGCCTCCAGCTTCTGTTCCTCCTACCTCAGCCTCCTTAGTAGCTGGGATTATCACCCTGTTTGCCTAAAATTTCTATTTTTAAGGGAAAAAAATATAATCTCTCAAATCTAATATAAAATAGTTGTGTTGACTTTTGCTCTATACATGATGACATTTTTATATAGTTGCAATGGGTACACAGTCTGTTTTTGTTTTTTGCTTTTTTTCAGTAAACATTACTGGAAGTATTCATCATGTTGGCTATAAATAATATTTTAAGAGTTCTTAAAAGTAGCCTTATTTTTCAAAGTACAGAGTCCAGCATATACTAGGGCCTCAACAAAAATATTTTTCAATTTTTTTATTAGAACAATGCAAACATTCTTACTTAAAGATAGCCCCCACCTTTTTGCAGTACTGGGGAACCCAGGGCCACATACGTGCTAGGCAAATCAACAAAAATCATTTTAGTGAATGAATGAATGAACAAATGCTTTGAAATAATGCAAATTAAATCTAGAAATCTGGAATTGATGTAAAATAGCTGGGTAAGGAATTACGTATATCAACCTTTCAAATTGTAGGCAATTTGAGGGACACAAGGAAAATAGGCATACCAAAATTTTACTGTTCCTATCAATACGTGTATGTATAGCTGGCCTTCAAGAACTCTAAAATCAGGGCTCTAATAAAAATGAGGGAGATGCTTCTGCCCTCCCACAGTAGGGCAGCTCAGATGTTCTTGGGTAGGGTGGGATTAGAACAAGGCAGCTGCTGAGTTGAAGGTAAGTAAGAAAAACAGAAACTAGCACCCAGCCAAGTATCAGAATGTCCAGTTCTACTCCAGGTCCTAGATCTCTGTTGTACTCCAGCTCATCCCTGTGTGTGATGGAGGTAGTGTCTATTTGCTGAAAATTTGCCTTGGTATCCATATGGATGCATACAGCACCTCCTTTGGAAACAAACATCAATTTCAGAACTGAAAAGAGAGCGTTTAGAGAACCAGAACTCCTTTTCCACCCTCCTTTTTATGGATAGCTTCAGAGATCAAAAATACTAGCAGAAATATAAATTCAGAGTAACAATTTGAAGGAAATAATGATCACCTTAACGCCATTTTTCCCATTTAATGCTAGAAATCTGCTTCTATTTAAATCATGGAAGGGAACATCACCTGAATTTTCCAAATGTGCCTTTAGAAAATACATATTACAAATTAGAAGGAAGCTTGACCTGGGGTAATTTGTTACTTGCTACTTTTTGCCTAATTCTGTTTTTAAACTCTAAAGTGATTTTATTTTTCAAAAAGGATAAAATTTCATCTTCTGACTTCTTGCTCCATTTTCCTTACAAGAGACATACAGTTGAACCTCAGTTCAGAAACTTGATTCTTTCCACAATCCTGGTCACAAACCAAGTTGGACGATAAATCAAATTCAAAGGTGAGGTTCAATGTTGACCTTATGAGGCACTGGACTTGGCTCTTGTCCAATTTGCCTTGTGACCAGAGTCGTGGAGAGAACTGAGTTCATGAACCAAGGTACCACTGTACCACTCTGAGTTCTCCAAAAGAAAAACCAAGATGGAAATAATTCTTTCACAAAGGAATAGGCCATTTAAAAGAAAAAAAAAATGTCTGCTTTTTCCAGACCTTGTGAAAAGCAAATGTTCTTACATTTATATGAATGTTTTCACTGTTGCCAAAACAAAGACAAATGTTAACAGATAACAAAGCCCTTTAAACGAATGCTGGTTAATAAGGCCACTACAAAAAAATTGATCTCTGGAATGCCAACAGGTAAAATATAATAATCGAATGATGACCTGTTCATAGAAAAACAACTCCATTCTGCCTCTAGCTGTTTGCATACACCTGAGCGCCTCAAAGCAAGTATTTTTGTAAGTCACATCAGTTAAATGACCTCTGAAAGCTTGAGTTCAAATTTAAGACTTTTAAGTATCTGTCTTCGATGTCCAAATGTGCGGAGCTGAAATATAAGGAATATGTATTCTAGTCCTGGGCTCTACCACTAATCATTGTGTGACCTTGAAATCACAGAAACTCTCTGAGCTTTAATGTCTTCATCTAGAAAAAAAAAAAGTGAGGGCTTGGTCACTGAAGTCTCTTACAGTGTCAAATTTCTATGATTCTGTTAATCCAAAATAAGATATGGAACAAGCATATTTCCTATAACTTGTTAGTGAATCTAATACTCTAGTATTATGCAACTAAATAAAAATGGAATATTCTGTGTATTTTTTTTTCTGTATATATTCCTTTTGATTTAAAAAAAAATCAACTCCAGGGCCAGGAATTTAGCTCAGTGGTGCCACTGCCTGCCTCGCAAGCACAACAACCAGAGTTTGATCCCCCGGTACCAAAATAAATAAACAAAATAAATAAATAATCCACTCCTCTTCCATCAATTCCATGAAAGTGCTTTTGGTGAAATTAATTTTGCCATCACACCATACTGAGTAGAAAACGATTATAAGGAATCAGCTAATCTTAGGTCTTAACCAAGGTGAAGATTTCTTTTTGCCACCAATGTCATGTACGGTTGTAATTTCCCTGGGCACTTGATGTATGCTTACCTCAAAGACACTGTGCATGATGTCACTAACACAGTTTCTTTCTTTGTCCAAGTTTCCAGAGAGCTGAAGCTCCCTAATGCTAAATGTGTGGTCCAGCAGGAGCAGAACCACAGAATTTCTTTGTATGCTTTTGCTCTACTCTCACTTTTGGGTCTATCTTGCCTTACACTATGGTTTGGCTCTTAAATGTCCCCCAGATGCCACGTGTTAGAGGCGTGGGGCCCAGCCTGTGGCACTCACTACTGGGAGGCCGTGGAACTTCTAGTGGACGGAAGGTGAGGTGTAGTGGACGTTGGTTAGGTCAATGGAGTCATACCCTCAAAGAGGCTACTAAGACCCACCCGTCCCCGCCCTCTCTTCCCAAGCATCAAGAGGTGAGAAGGTTTGCTCCACCTTATATTCCATGCCATGATGCCTTGCCACAAGGCCAAAGGAACAGAGCCGTGTGTCCATGGGCTAAAACCTCCAAAACCATGACCCAAAATAAGTCTTTTTTCCTTCAAGTTGATTTTTCTCAGGTATTTTGTCACAGCAACAGAAAGTTGAGTAACACATGTTGCAAATCTTGTTGTCCTTTTGTCTTATTTTTATTGCCAGTACACATCTATTTTACCATGAAATACTACACGCATCTCTGTGCCACTCAGGACCTTTCTGGAATATGCAATTATCAAACTTTGGCAGAAACTTGCTTTACTTCTTGCAGCTCTGATTCACTCAGCAGAGTGGGGGAGCACAGGTCTCTTGGCCTACAAGTATGCACCCCTCTGCCCTTCCCTCTTCCCACAAATGTCCCCCAGAGGCTGCTGCTCCTTGGTAACGTTTTTTTTTTTTTTTCTTTCCAAGATGTTCTTGCAGGTGTCCTGTGTGAGAAGAAAGCACAGGAAAGATAAGCGAAAAGAGCTGCTTTTTTCAAACTTCCGTATCTCTAAGGAAGTTTGCAAATATCTAGCTGCCAAGCTATTTTCTGTGGAACTGGCAGAGTACTATTTGTGATTAGCACAAGGAAATGTACTGTGAGGAGATAAAGCATTGTTTCCAACTGCTCTCACAAGCTTTTTTAAAAGCAGTCTACTCCATTCGAGTTCTATTCAAAAGAAAAAAAATCCTAAGTTCAAAAAAAATCAAGAAAAAAGCCATTGTTCTAAATAATGCAAGCTTGTTTATTGCAGCTGGATTAATAGTTTAGGTCAATTTTGACATTATGAATTATATTCTAGGCTACACGGGCAGCTTTTAGAGTACTCATGTGTTTGAGTTTGATAAAGCTATCATAACAAGGTACCACAGACCGGGTGGCTTAAACAATTGAGATTTATGTTCTCACAGCTCTGAAAGTTATGAATCTGAGAAAAAGGGGTCAGCAGGATTGGTTTTTTTCTGAAACGCCTCTCCTTTCCACACAGGTGAACATCTTAGACTTCTACAAGGACTTCCTTCTATACCTGAGTCCAAATTTCCTTTTTAAGAACATGAGCCATTTTGTGCTAGGAGCCACCCTAATGCCCAAATTTCCTCTTCAGAAAAAGCTATTTTCAAATAAGGTCACATTGTGAAATCCTGAGGATTAAGGCTTCAACATATAAATTGAAGGAGATACAACTCAGCCTATAACATGTTGCGTGTGTGTGTGTGTGTGTGTGTGTGTGCACGCACGTGTAATCAATAGAGTAAACTTCCAGGGCCGGGGATTTAGCTCAGTTCCGCCGCCTGCTTTTCAAGTACAGAGTCCCGAGTTTGATCCCCGGCATCAAGAAAAAAAAAAAGAATAGATTACACCTCCATTTGTCCTATAGGTCTTAGCAAGATTCTTCTGTTTTAAGTGTTATTTAGTTGATATTCAACAACTATTATCTACTAATGTCCCAGACCTAGTTCTGATTGTATTAAAGGTAGTTTAGTTTCTCAAATTCTTGTTGGTCATAGCCATAACCAGTTCAATACTGATGAGATCAGGAATCTAAAGTGTTCTTTCCACTCCATTTTCCAGCATGCATCTTAGGCAAAGATAGAAGAATCTTCCTGGATTTCCTATAAGCT